TAGAGGATTGCTGGCATGTCCAGGGTCACCAAGTCTCCATAGGAACCATAAAACCTAATCCATCCACATAGACAGCATTTTGAAGAGGCCTTTATTTTGTCCTACCATCACAAACGCAAACATTCAGTAAGCTGAGCTCAACTTTAACTGCAACCACGTGCTTTAGTAATGAGAGAAATAAGAACAAACAACAAACACTTCTGCACTTTATCAATGCATAAGAGAGGATCTATGATGCTGTGGGATTGCTTCTCTTCCAAAAGCCACTAAGAACCTTGTCGGAGTGCAAAGCACCAAGAACTCTGTGAAGCACCGGGACATTTACAAATACAAACCAGAAGGCCTCTGCTAGAAAAGTGAAAATAGGTTTCACTGGGTCACTGTGATCCTAAGAAGATAAAATGGGTCAGATTGTACAGAATCAGCCTTCCTCCATCTCCACCACAAACCCAAACCCTAAATCCTTTAGACCCTGTGAGGTGAGGGGCGGGTGTGTGTGTGTGTGGGGGGGGGGGGGTGCGGTTCAGGACGATCTAAGGAGATCGCTCTGACAGCAAAGATTAAACGCTGTCCAACTGGCAGAAACGTGGCACAGAAATTAAAAGGTTTGAGTTTTTCTTAATGAATTCAGCCAATAAAACCTGAATTCGTCTTAAGGCTTTTGTTTTAACGCATTCACACGTGGTGGTTGTGGTTGTGGTGGTGGTGGTATTGGAGGGGAGTGACAACAAAATTCATGCGCGTCTGTATTTTCTGATCTGAAAATGCCACACAGCGCCGCTGTGTTCGTGAATAATGCGCTCTGGCTCCCTGCTCCCAGTGCGGTGGGTGAAAACAGCAGCGCTGGGGGCCCCGACACATCTCTGCGGGGAAGTGACCCGTGCGCTCCAGACCTCGTCGAAACAAAAAGCTTTGTGGAGCGCCGAGGGAGGGAGGGAGGGAAGAGGAGGGAGGGAAGAGGAGGGAGATTGAGGGCTTTGTGTGGGGGAGGAAGGAGGGAGAAGAGGGGGGTGGGGGGGAGGTTCTCCTGTTTCATCGCCAAGTCCCGGGAGGCCAACACGGAGCATAGCTTCAATCAAACCGTGACGTCTCCTCCGGGAGCAGCGCAGCGCCTGGAAAACCGATCTCACCGCGGCTCTCTGTCGCGCCTCAGCTTTTGTTCACACGCATCTCGACTCGGCAGCGCAGCGCGGCACAGCGCAGCGCAGCGCCGGCAGCGACGAGACTGTTGTTTTATATCCAAGCGTGAGTGAAGGAGAAGAGAGAAGCACGGCAACAATAAAAAGAAAGAAAGAAAGAAAAACAAGCCTCCTAACTCCGTCTGGATATAAAACAGAACATCGGTTGTTCTTTTAAACTAATTTATTCCCCCCCCCAACTCTTCACCCCCCACCTCCCGCCCACCCATTCTAACACAATGGGTTTGATAAGCAAAAAGCGTTCCGTGATTCTATCGACGCACTCTCCCCGTGCGTAATTTCCCCCCCGCCGTGGTCCCTATTGATCCCAGATTAGAAAAAACGGGGACAAACAGGAGGCTAATGGGTTTAGAATGGAGGCGGTGTGGTTGTTCCCATTCTCTTTAACGCAGCAGGTCCTCACGGAGCACCACGCTGACACAACCACTGTCACACATCACTCACCATGACAATGAGCCCTCCCTCCCACACCCAGCAGCAGGAGCCGAGCTGGAGCTGCCTTCAGGTGATTTTTTTTTCTCTCCCTCCCAACCATGCAAATCCAACAAGCTGCTGGAAACTGCGTCCTCCCTTTTCTGAAATTTCCCCCAAATCCATTAAGACGAGCTCCCATGAAGCTAAACTTTGAGGATGCCCACAGGTGAGTGCGATCCGTGAGGATTCCCTGTCATCCAAATTAGAAACAAATGAAACCTGACAAACGTATATCTGGGTAATCAAAGTCACCGTTTATGGCAGGGGTTGGTACGGAGCTCCCCGAACGCGTGAAAGGGGAGAGAAATAAAATACTATAGAAAGTAAAAACAGCCCTCCCCGTCTGTGCTCCAACACCTGGAGAACAGATCAGTCCCCGCACCGACTTTCACAGTGCGCTCAGTGGAAAAATGACGCGCAAAACAGTCCGACGGGGCCGCGCTAAAAATAAACCCGGCCCACACAAAATGTGAAGAGTTGTGCTTTGGGGTGTCCACAGCCTGAGCCCGTGTGAGTTTTTTTTATTATTATTATTTTTTTAAATTAATTTATTTATTTAAGGTTTGCTCAAATGGAAGGTGATCGAAGACGCGCTTTATGTGGCTGAAAACCGATAATTGGGCGGCTTCACGCAAATCAATCAGAGTTCAAATTAAAGTGTACAACTTCGGGAATGAAGCGTGTTCTTTGTTTTGCCACAACATTTCAGGGTTCCCAGGTGACGTTCACGTCGCCAGTAAAACACACAGTCGGGTGAAGTACTTTATTTCCACTAACAAAACAGAGTGTGTGATAAAAGCATGGATTTCTAAGCCGGGTTGCACAAAATGCAAGGAACTTTAAAAGCGAAATGGAGGGTGGTGGGGTGGGGGTGGGGGGGCACTAAAAACCTAACTCCTATTTAGGTCCATCTGGGCCGATGACGTCACGTGATGTACAAGATGTGAGCTGGAAGGAAAGCGGTAAACATCAGGGCAAACAGATTTCGACGTAGGATTTGAGACCAGATCTTTTCCGGTCTGTCCCTCCTCCCCCCAGGCTCCTGAAAATCTCCTCTTTTGTTTCATTGCTGCCAACCTTTCCTGAAATTCAAACGTGCGGGGTACAAGTACACACCCCTGACGGGGAAATTTAGTTAAAAACGGGCAAACGAAGTAGGACAAATCGAGAAAAAAAAAAAAAAAGAACTGTTGTACCTCAAGTGATATCATCAGGGGCACGTTTGGTATGTTTTATCTTGATTAAACACCGATTACATCTAAAATAAATAGAAAGGTCCGGTGGTGGCACGTTCAGGTGACGAACTACGTCTGGAGTCAGTTTGATTGATTTTTACTGAAAAGTCTGGGTTGGTAGGTTTAAGACCGCGGTTTAATCCGAACACAACAAAGCTCTCTTTCTGCATCAAAGCCCACTGAAGTAGCCTCCACCCCCCACTAGTTAATCCCCCACCCCACCCTACCCACCTACCCCCCTCCTCTCTGCTCCTTGGAAACGTCCCATAAACTCGAGGTCCTGATCCTGTTCCTCCAATCTGTTCGCGCGTTGTATGCGCGATGTTCTATACAGCCTATACGGTCCGATCTGCGCGGATTGGCCGCCGGGAAGGATGAAGAGGTATTTCTGTCGCTGCTAAAATCAGTCAGCAAGCTGAAGCCAGCCAATATGGGAGCGCATCGATCTCCCTGAGAGGAGAGGAGAGCAGAGCGTCCCCTTAATTATTGGACCGAGACTCCGATCCTAAAAGAGAAATAAATAAAAAATAATTTAAAAAGATCCCCTGCTTAACGGTATCGTCGGAAAGCAGTCTGCGTAGCCTGCAGATGAGCTTTAAACTCTCAGTTTGGAACGCATCCAACAAGCCCTGCGGCTCTTATTTCAATTAAACTGCAACTTCAGGCTGCAAGATGCGCTCCACGGCGACAAAAAAAAAAAGAAAAGGGAAAAAAAAAGAAGGATAATTTAAAACGAGACTGGTGTGGAAACAACGCGAAACTCACCAAGCAATTAGGGAAATTATAGTGGCAGTGATAAATGGCTGTTTGGAAAGTAGGTTGTTTGGATATAAAGAGAAAGAGGAACCGCGCATCGGAGCTCCGGGGGGGGGGGGGGGGGGGGGGGGTGTGGTGTGGGTGGTGATGGTGGGGGGCTCCATTAATCCTCCGCGCGGGGCGAGATTGCATGCGGGAAAAGAGGGGAAGAGACACAACACGCTGCAGCGCGAAGTCAGACCCGAGAACACCTGCGAGACACGCTGAGAGGAAAGATTGGGGGGGAGGAGGGGGGGACGGCACGCAGCCAGAGCGGTTTCCATCAACTTATATAGACAGGAAGGTGAGCGGTCCACAACCACACACGCCTCACACTACCTCTGGGACAGATGAGGGTCCGATCTGTCCAAACAAAGCCCCCCTCCCCCCTCTACCCCTTTTAACCTCACCCCCCAGCCCCCCAACACCTCCACGCCGTGCGGTGACAGCGGCAGCGGCAGCAGGGGCAGCAGGGGCGCACACGCCGCGGGGGATGCCCTCCAACTGAACCGGACTGTCTCATCGGAGCGGCGCTCGCGCTGCCTTTCGTACAGGGCGAGGCTGGATTCCTGTAACCTTGTTTAGCGCAGAAGCTCCGTGTGCGCGCACGAGCACTCGCACCAGCCCCTCACAGGCAGACTCTCTCTCTCTCTCTCTCTCTCTCTCTCTCCGTCTCTCTCTCACACACACACACGCACACACACACATATACAGACACGCACACACAACGGGGTGCGAAAAGCCCGAGCAGGCACCGCCGCCACCAACACCAACCAAGGACGGCGCCACTTTCAAGTTCGCTAATCTCTGGGACGTCCTTCTCACCTCCGTCCGGCTGACAGGACGCTGGGAGCCCAGGCTGTGTGTGTGTGTGTGTGTGTGTGTGTGTGTGCAGTGTGTGCGCGTTGTTTATCAACCACATGCCGCTGCCCCGCCGAAACGCACAAAGACCACCCTATGCGCTATTCTTAGAAGTGGTCCGATCCTCTCCCACAGTCCCTGCGCACATCATCGCGATCAGCAGCCAGTCTGGGGTTTTTTGTTTTGTTTTGTTTTGTTTTGTTTTATTTTTTTCTTCGCATGAAAATCACACTGAAACATGTAAAACAGCCAAAACCGTTACGGGCAAAATTAAAAAAAAAAAAGAAAAAGAAAAAAAAAAAAGAGCGGAGCACGTTTTTTGTTTTTTGGTTTTTACTTTCTTTCTTTTTTCCGGGGCTCCGGAAAAAAGGGGGATTTCACACATGGTGATGGGGAAATAAAACACATTCAGATTAGTCTTTTGTTTTCGGCTCACCTGTTTAAATGGTGCAAGTTCCGTAGAGTCCGATTCAAGTCTTTTGTCCTGTTTTTTTCCCAGTGCGTGGACGTATACGTAGACTGGCCCCCGGTTACGGTCCTGTCTGCTGGAGACAGACGATCCCGGCCAGGAGGAGGAAAAATAAAAAATAAAAAAAAGTGTCTAACAGGTTATCCACTTGTCACGAAACGGGGCAATTCTTATAAATAAACCCCTCAATGTGTGTTCTATTGTCCACAGCCGACTCTCATCCTTTACTCTCTATTTCAAGCGGACTTTTTAGGAGCTTCCATAGAGCTACAAAAAGATCCTGCGCCGAAACAGAGCGACGGAGGGGAAAATCCTGAAAGAAAAAAAAATCCACAAAAGAGGATCCGACCAGTCAGAAGGAAAGAAAAACTGTTCGGTCCGAGCCGCTTAGAGGATACAGGTGGTGAGGTGAGGTTGGCGGAGAAATTAAATCAGCTCGTCCGTACCTCGCAGCAGCGCCATGTTGGGTCTGAACGGAGCACGCCGTGCTCGGAAAAAGCCCCTTTTCCTCCCGCTTTGCGTCGCTGCGCTCCGCTCCGCGCGTCCCCCACCCTCCCTGCTTCCAACAGCGGAATCCGTGCGACAAGAAGGCGGCTTTGGAGAGAATCTATCCCGAGTAGTTTCTCTTTTCTCTTTCCCCTTCTTCTTTTCCTTCTGTTTCTTGCTCCGATTCTCTTTTCGCTTCCAGAGTCGCAGAGAACAGCCCGTGTCGGGAGCCCCTCGGTTCGCACCGAGGACGCACACAGAGCTGTGTGATTACGGGGAGTGCCGCGCACACACACACACGCACGCACGCACGCACTCACACACACACATACACACACACACACACAGACAGACACACACACAGAAAGAGAGAGGGAGAGAGAGAGCGAGAAAGAGCGAGAGAGAATGGATGAACGCTGCCGAGACTGAGCGACTCGCTTCCACTCCCACTCGCGCAGACTCTACCCAGAAGGCCAGTCGGGAGACCGCAATTACCATAAGCCTCCAGCGCACGGCACTGGCTGCGCGCGCACACGGAGACACACACAAACACTCGCTCAGAGAGAAGCACACACACCTAGAAGGCTCCGCTGAAAGTCCTAAAGAGCGCTCGGCTGGGTTTAAACACACATTAGGTGGCAAATGAGGCACGTGGATAATTTGATAGAAAATAGAAGCTAAATATGAAAGACGACGTGAGGTTAGAAAGCAGCGTCAAATCTCGGTGGGTTTTTTTCTACGTTAGTATAATTTCTTTTTTTTTTTTTGGCTATGTGACAAATATATCTGGCCCGTGATTGTATGGAGCTCCAAGCAGAATTTAGTTTGGGGGTCCCTAATCTCAATTCACACACCAGCCCAGTCTAAGCTAATTAGGACGTCATCGACATGTTAATTAATTCCGGTAATTGAATTTAAAAAGTGAAATTAATATACGATATAGATTCGCTACAGAAATACTAATTCCCTCCCAAAATGCAGTTTCTCAGAAAATGTAGATGACACCAATAACAATATGATTTAAAAAAAAAAAGAAAAAGAAAAAAGAAATGTAATGATTTGACCTGTATATTTTAAAAAAACTGGCTTTTCATCATATAGTACTCTATCCAATCCTTCCCACCATATGGATGGAAAGTTTAGTGAAAGGAGAAAAAATGTGGTAGACAATGGTGAACAAGCATTTAGGGCATTTGGAAGTGAGACCCTTTAAAGAATGAATGACAAAGTTTCAAACTGTTGGACTGCAACTCGACCTGGAGCTTCCATGGAGACTAAAAGTCACATCCTCTTTCATGAAGCTCGTCCTAAATCAGAGACAATGTGCCAAGAATCTCACCTGGACCGAGGTGAGAAAAGGACCGGGCTCAGTGGACCAAAGTCCTCTTTTCTAGATGAAAGCAGATTTTGCATTTCATTCGAATTTGATTTGAAGTCAATGTCAAGGGCGAGCGGAGCGCCACCGACTCTGGGCTGCTTGAATTCCAGCCGTGTCATCATCTTGTTGTTGACCGGGACATTTTAGAGCGCTTCATGCCTCCCGCTGCTGACAAGTGTTACGGAGATGCTGATTTTATTTTTCCAGCAGAACTTGGCACCTGCCAGAAGTACTAGTACGTGCTATATTTGGCTACGGTGTCGCTGTGCTCCAGTGAGCAGCACTCACTGCTCTGACCTAACTCCTAACAGAGAATCTATGGAGTTATTGTCAAGAGGAAGGCGAGAGGCACCAGAGCCAACAACGCAGATGACCGGAAGGCCGCCATCTTTAAATGCCTCGGCAACACGCCGATCACGTCCACGCTGCGCAGCACCGATGCAGTAATTCATGGACAAATACTGCTTGAAGACAGTGCACAGAACATTGCTATTCTATCGACGTAGACTAACATTCCTATTTCGATATATTTTTTTTTATTGTTTTCATGTAATATCCCAAATTCCTGAAATCTGAATTTTGGATTTTTGTTAGGCTTATACACAATAATCATTTCGATTAACTGGAAATATATCACTCTGTATAGAATGAAGCTACATAACGTTCACATTTTGAACTGATTCACCAAAAATATGAGTTCTCTATAATGTAGTAAATCAGGACACAATAAACAGTAATTGTGAAAATAAGGTTATTTCTTCTACTGGCGATTGCGTCTGGATTATTATTGATTAGTTAGCAGTTACACAGCACACACACACAGCTGAAAGGTTTAAACCAGCAACATTCTGACCGCTCAATAAGAAAATATGTAAAAGGAATGTTAAGTTTTAAGCTCGATACATGAGAACTCGAGTGCTCTTGGTTGCCCCCTGAAGGCCTGGAGGACATAAGCAGCAGATTCGTTCATGTGTGCCTCAGGCTGGCTCTGTATATTCAACAAATTAGTGAAATTTCTGTATAGTCTAAGTAAATACAACAAAAAATGTTTTATTTTTTTTTTGTCTTTATCAGAACCTCAATCAGCATCACAACAGAACTACTTAATGCCATCACAGATTTTAGCCGTTCTCCACATTCAACCTTTTCAGCTGACACTTAGGGAATATATTTCAAATCAATTTCTGTTTACTTCTCTCGGGTTTTTTTTTTTTGTTGTTGTTTTTTTTTCAAGCCTAAAGATATCTCTGTGAAACACTAGAGACACAGAGAGGGCGGGGGGGACGGGGGGGGGGGTGGGGGGGGCAGCTCAAGGCTGGGGCACATCTGTTAAAGCTCCCATGTCAAGCAAAG